CCATCACTTCCACCTGCCTTCCATTCATCCTCCATCACTGCCTCCCACCTTCCCCCCCACCCCCATCCTCCATCACTGCCGCCGCCTTCCCCATCACTGCCCCCTGCCTTCCCCTCCACCTCCATCACTGCCCCTAGCCTTCACCCCACCCCCATCCATCATCACTGCCCCCTGCCTTCCCCTCCACCCGCATCCTCCATCACTGCCCTCTGCCCTTCCCCCCACCCTCTATCACTGCCCCTGGCCTTCCCCTCCACCCCCCATCCTCCATCACTGCCCCCAGCCTTCCCCTCACACACCAACCAGTTCCCAGCAAGGTCCCACCCCGTTAGCAGAATGAGTATTATCAACCCGGTGCAGGGCAGCGGCGAAGCTGACGGCTGTCTGATGGGAAGGCAGCCCCCTGAGCCCTGGCCTGGAGAAGGGCAGTGAGAGCAGGTCAGCCGGGCCAGCTTGGTGGGGAGCGCCCTCCCTCCTATTAGGGCGTGTTGGGGACGGCACTGCCAGGTCTGAGCAGGGCTCTACCCTCCTGCGTCACCGGCTCCCAAAGCTTTTCAGCTCGCGTTTCTCGCTGGAGTTCCTGCCTTTTTGGTACCAGCTGTTTAAATACGGGCCGCAAGAGATGGGACGGGCCATGTAAATATACTCTTCTAGGGGCCCAGTCAGGCTCCTCCCTTAGAGTCCATTCTCCAGGGCTTCATCCAGCATCGGTTTCAACAGCCCACCATCTATCCCTCTTCTGCAGCCTACTAAATCTCACTAGGGAACAGCAGCATGAAGGCCACTAGCTCGGCTGATGCTTGGGATTGAAGACAGGCTGGAGTTGAGCAGAAAGCCAGGCTTCAGAGCTGGGGCTGCAGCAGACTCGTCCCCTCTGTGGATCAGGCACAGAGGCAGACACATGACCCCCACAGGCCTGTGGATAATTATTATTATTATCGCTGTTATTTATTCTTTGTACTGCCTGCGAACCCTAGTCACGGGCCAGGCCCTCGCTGCGCCAGGTGCTGGACAAACACAGAAGGAAAAGACCCTGCCCCGAAGAGCTCACAGTCTAAAACAAGAGACAACAGACGGATACAGAGAGATGGTGGCGTACAAGGAAACAATCATAGAATCGTAGAACTGGAAGGACCCTCAAGAGGTCTCCTAGTCCAGTCCCCTGCACTCATGGCAGGACTGAATATTATCTAGACCATCCCTGACAGGGGTTTGTCCAACCTGCTCTTAAAAATTTCCAGAGATGGAGATTCCACAACCTCCCTGGGCAATTTATTCCAGTGTTTAACCACCCTGACAGTTAGGAACTTTTTCCTAATGTCCAACCTAAACCTCCCTTGCTGCAATTTAAGCCCATTGCTTCTTGTCCTGTTTTCAGAGGCAGTATTAGCCAGCAGGAAGGTCGGGGTCCCGTTTTTTGTAGGCATCGCTGCAAAGGAGAGTTTCGGGGCACGGGGGAGGAGGAGGAGGAGGAGGTGGTTCGGGGCTGTTTACGGGGAACTCCTCCCCCAGCAGGGGAGGAAGCACCAAGGGACTTGTCTGAAAATGTAACAAGTGGGTGCTGGTGACGGGCATCAGGAGCCGTTTGGAGACGAGCGTCGACATCTCAGTAGTGAGCAAGAGGTGATAGGAAGGGTGGGGATTGGCCAGGTGGGGCCTTGACGGTGAAAACAAGTCGCTGGTGTTTGATGCTAGAGAAGGGGGAGGCAGTGGAGGGAGGCAAAGACAGGGGTCACGTGGTCACAGTGCCAGGCTAGGAAAACCCCCTTTGCCGCAGTCCTCTGGCCGTTGTCCAGGCCAGAGAGAAGGCTGCTGCAGCAATCAGAAGACGCCTGGCGATGGGCGTTCTCGCTGTGCGGAAGGACAGGAACGGCCGTATCGTAGAGACGCGGCACAGGAAGAATCAGCAAGGGTTAGACGTAGCTGGGGTGGGACCTAGAGAGACGGCTGAGCCAAAGGGGGCACCCGGTTCTGCGCCTGAGTGACAGCAGGATGGTGGTGGTGGTGTCTACGGTGATGGAGAACGGCAGTGGTTGGGAGGAGATTAGGATTCAGCCTCCATTTTCCTTTCCTTAGCAACATCCCGTGAGTCGGTCCTCTTCTGTTACATCCCTCAAATACTCCCAGAGGCACTTTCCATGTTCCCCCTGGCTCCGCATTTGCTGTGGTTTGACCAAGCTTCAGTCTCCGTCCGCCAAATTCTTCACTGGCGTAACGCGGCTGGCTTCCGTGGAGTTACACCAGCGTGCAGTTTGGCCCTCCGGATCTGAGACGGGCCGGCTCCAGAGCCCAAGTGAGCTGGCGGCCCGGGCGTCGGGCTCTGAGGCTGGGCTGAGGTGCCCGTCTCTGGGTCTGAGCCCTGCGTCTCTCCCCTCCGCAGATCGCCGCTCAGATCTGTAGACAGGCCGGCCTGGTGAAAAAGTCCAAGGATGTGATGGACTATCACGAAGAGAACTTCGCCATCGTCTTCGCAGCCATGGGGGTGAGTCCGACGGGGGGCTGGTGGGGGCGGCGCAGGCCTCCCAGCTCCGTGCAGGGCCTTGCCCCAGGCCGCAGGTCCCGGGGCGGAGGGCTGCGGACAGCGTCAGCAAGCCCAGGCTGCTGGGAGGGCTCCTCACCAGCTGGGCCCCTCACGGCTCCATGCAGCAAGGCTCTGAGGGTGGCCTGGACTTGGGGTTTGGGTCAGACCCAGAGCAAGGCATCCAGACCTTGGCTGGGGCCCGGGGGGTCAGAGTCATCGTGCTGGGGCTGGGTTCGGGGACAAATCTGGGGGGCTCAGGGCTGAGTCTGGGGCAGAGCTGTGGGATCAGCCAGGGCCCTCGAGCAGGGGCATCTCTGCGGACCAGGGTTCGGGGCTGAGCCCAGCCACTGGGGGGTCAGCACGAGCATGGGAGGATCCAACGTCCTGCCTTGGTCTCAGGGCCAAGGGCTTTGGGAACTGCTCCTCGGAGAGGCGCGGCAGAGCGAGTGGTCGGTGAGGAAACAGGCTAAGCCCTGGATCTGAACTCCCAGCCCCCTCGGGCTGGGCCCGGGGACAGGGAGAACCCCCCGTAAAGAGCCGGGTGGCCGAGATCGGCAGCACTGTGCTCCCCCCTGGTGGACAGCTGTGTCCTTGCAACCTGCTCTGCTCCCCGGCCCCACACCGCTCCCTGCCCCCAGCACCAGCTGCTTCCTCTGGAGACGGTCCCAGGAGACCCAGCGCCACACGGAGAGGTGCCCTGCAGCCGGGCCAGTGCCCCGAGGCGCTCCGTGCCACAGCAGCCTGCCCCATCCTGGCAGGCCCTTGCGCTGCATCCCCAGGGTGACATGGGCCCAGAGGAGTAAAAGCAGAAAGGAATTAAAAGAGCCAAGTTATACTGAAGAGGCTGGGGTGGGAACCAGAGACTGGGACTCAGGACACCTGGGTTCTAGTCCCTGCTCTGCCACTGACTCCCTGTGGGACTGTGGGTGAGTCCCTGCCCTCCCCTGGCCTCAGTTTCCCCATCTGTACAATGGGGACTGTTGTGTTGCTCAGCCCTGCCCCGTTCTGGATGTGATTGGCAGGTGAACATGGAAACCGCCCGCTTCTTCAAGTCGGACTTCGAGGAGAACGGCTCCATGGAGAACGTGTGCCTCTTCCTGAACCTTGCCAACGACCCCACGTGAGTGCAGCCCCTGCCTGTCATCAAGGGAACTGCGCCAGATCAGGCTCCATTAACCATAACACGCCCGGCCCCCTGCCTTTTGTTCTGCACGTGTGCAGCGCCTAGCACAACGGGGTGCAGTCCATGGCTGGGCTCCTGAGCACTACCGTAATACACCTAATTGCAACAAAACTGTACAGCACCTAGCGCAACAGGGTGCAGTCCATGGCTGGGCTCCTGGGCACTACCGTAATATACCTAATAGCAATAAAACTGTACAGCGCCCAGCGCAATGGGGTGCTCTCCATGGCTGAAGTGTCTGAGCACTACCATAATACACCTAATAGCAATTAAACTGTACAGCGCCCAGCGCAACGGGATGCTGTCCTTGGCTGGGCTCCTGGGCACTACCATAATACACCTAATAGCAACAGAATTGTACATCTCCCAGAGCAATGGG